ATGTCCCAAATTTAGAGAATCCAAAGAAATCTGCAGAATTATGGCTCATGAAAATGTACCCTTTGCAATAGCACAAAAACAATTCTCCAACATGCAACATAATTCCTTGTTCCACTCACCATCTATAACTTTCAGCAATTTCCCACCATTGCGACATTCTCCTACTCCAAGTAAATTCCCTTTGCCCCCTGAACAGAAAAATCGCAAATACAGTGAAGCCGTGCAAGCTGGTCTGGCCAAGGACCGTATTCCGCACACGAGTCCTTACCTCGCTGAGTCCAACTCGCTAATGAGCAACACCCATTCTGTTCATCTACAAAGATTGGAATCGATCTTAAAAGCAGACCCGAACTCGAATGCTCTATGGAATAGAATATGGAAAGCAATCGACTTACATATTCAGTTCTCAAATGGACAAGAACCCCAACGTGCTCCGAATACTTCAATGGAATTGCCAAAGTCTCAAAAACAAGCTACATGAACTTCAATTTAGAGCACAACAGTTTGACATCATTCTATTAAACGAAACCTGGCTGACACAAACGGACAAAGTCTATATAAAAGGATTCGACGTTATTCGCAAAGACAGAACGCATCGTGCTGGAGGAGGTACTGCCATCTTCATTAACAATTTTCTCAAATATGAGAAACGACCTGCCCTATACGACTGCGACGGGAGCATTGAACTATGCGCATTGACCCTGCACTTAGTAGAGGGAAAGCTACTATTGGCAACTGGATACAGGCCCCCCGATAAACACATTTCGAACGATAAATGGCTGCGCTTCCTAAACCAATTCCACGATAGGTTTCTATTAGCAGGGGATTTTAATGCCCACCACCCCCTCTGGGGCAGCCCTCGCGCTTGCTCTGAGGGAGATAAACTTTTTCGCGCCATAGAAAGTACTGATAATTGTGTCATCAACCAAGGAGATACAACCTTCCGCTCAAGACAATTTAATACGGAATCGGCTATAGATATCTCAATAACAGACAGCCGATCCTACCCAGCGTACAACTGGTGCGTTGGGAAGGACTCATGGGGTAGTGACCATTACCCTATCACACTAGAACTCCACAAAAAAGCGAATCCCAGAATCATTCACCGGGCACCGCACAAAATATATACTCTTAAGACAAATTGGCAACAGGCCATCTCCAACATCTCCTGCAACTTAGATGCCCTCGAAGCAACTATCTTACACCCAGATACCGACACCCAGGTTAAGTACTCCACCTTTGCAGCTACTATAACCTCCGCGGTCATGGAGGCCACACCAGGGAGAAAATACCACAACACGAGAAACCACAAACAGAATTCCAACCTTGCTAACAATCAAAAATCTCACAAACGCCCTAACCCAGCACCATTTTGGAACGAAGACTGCAACCGACTTATTCGGCTTAGAAAAGGAGCACTCCTACGACTCCAGCAGTACCCATCGAGAGACAATTTTCTCCAATACAAGAAAATCGAAGCTAAGACGAGATCTGATATACGCAGAATCAAACGGGACTACTATCGGAACTTCTGTTGTTCCCTCAACCGCTTCACTAATCAATCTTACATATGGAGGAAACTAGCTGGACTTAAGCGCGCC